AAGGCCCGGACACTGGCTAAGTACAGCCCAAATACATAAAGCAACAATTGCTTGCATTGCACTCACTCCTGACACCACACTTCTAGGCAAACATGATTCAGACCACAAGACATTTACTGCCTTCATGTGATCTTCAGTTTCTTCTTAATAAATTGCACTATTTATAATTGCTACATGTTAAATATATCAGTAACTTACAGACTAATGACTTGTTCTGAGATTTTTCACTGTAAATGGATAATGCTTTCTTTTGTCTATTCAGTACATGTTGGGCTAAGTCAGCCCAAGTTAAGTCAGGCAGGTATACAAATTGGTGTGATTATGGACAGGGCTCTGAGCACCCAGATCAACCTGTATGTGTCCTTGTTTATTGCAGGGCAGTTGGACCAGATGGCCCTTAAAGATTCCTTCCAACTTAAATGATTCTAGGACTCCATAAATTAATAAAACTTTTTATTTCATTAAGAAAATAAATTCAAGGTTAGAATCTGAGTGAAAGAGAAAGTATAGAAAATGGATGCATTAACTTTGAAACAAAGTTTGTAGAATCATTTTGTTTTGCCCAATGGTTCAATTTTTAAATGAACAAAATAAATTTTGTTTCCATTTACTTTCATTCCATCTACCTTCATTTCAATGAGGTATTAAAAATGCCATGACTTACCAAACTCCTGCAGCAGATGATCGAAATCAGGCTTCCCACCCCAAGTTACCCAATTCCTCCTGCTGCCCCAGCCATCAGTGAACTTTTCTGAGAAAACACAGGGCTGGTTGGGAATCAAATAATCCCGAAAAAAGTCTGAATAAGTGAACGATTCGATTTTATCAATGAAGTCAACGTGTCCTGTGGAGAATGTGCCCTGAGCCGAACTGCTGTAGTCACGAAAAAAGGCGGTGGAACAGGCAAATGTTGCCCTGTCCATGCAGGCAGGATGCTCCTCCAAGGCAGCTCGGATCAGATGCCAGAGTAGAAAAACTTTGCTTTAAAACATGCCTTGATTCTCTCAGCCTATGTCAGGTAATGTGAAAATAGAAACGTTCAGAGGCAAAGGAGGAATTTATGCACTATGCTGGGACAAATAGGTTCCACCATGCTGGAATAAACAGGATCTTCCATGCTATATAACTTTTAATGTAACAAAGCCAGGTATCACGCTGTGGAGATGCTGCTGTTTCCCTGTCACCTAAAACAGCAGAAATAATTGTGTCAGTGGAAAATCTCTTCTTGACAAAGTGCTGGGAACACACACACATATACAGAGGGCTTATAGAGGAAATAACTGTGCTGGGGCTGCTTTGTGAGTAGAGGAAACAGCTCTGGGAACAGAGCCTTCATGGGGGTTGGGGTGTGTGTGGGGAGGAA